TGGGGTGGGTAAATGTAATAGGGAAAAGATAGTCCCTCATGTAACCTGGCCCATGCCATATAGAGCTAAAATCTTAATTACACCTAAAAGCAAACTGGTCACCAAAGGTTGTGAAGCAGAGATTCAACATATGCCATGCTAGAGGTACATATAACTGCATTGCCACTTTCTCGACCAGCGGAAGTTTCTAGATACTCTTTAAGGGTGGCCCCAAGAGCTCATTAGAGTAATCCATTCTGGAGGTGACCAAAGCATGAGTGACAGTGAGTAGAGCCTCATGGTCCAGGAAGGGGTACAGGTAACACAATGTGAAGCTGTGCAGAGGCCATCCTAGCCACAACTGCCACTGAGCAGGAGTTTCAAGGTTGTACACCAAGTCTGTTGTGAACCTCATCCAGTACTAAAGATGGCAGGTTCCCAGGTTCATAAGGCCCCCAAACCCCAAACCACTCAATCTTGCCAGGATTCAGCTGAAATCTATGGTTCCTCACCCAGACCCAACAGCCTCCAAATGTTAGGATAATATATCAATGGCATTGTTTAATTTGTCAATGATGGAGATACATTACTGGTATCATAGGCACACTGATGGTACCTCACCCCATGGAGATGAATGATTTCACTCACCATCTGCAGGTTAAATAAGGAGGTTATACATGTTAGATGAGGGAAATCATATATTTATTATTCAGGCATACAGTATAAGCTACTTCTATGTGGCATACATTCCTTGTCTGTAACAACAAAACAATAGCAAAACATACAATTGAATATGTTTGAAGCTACTCTGATGGATTTGACTAAATTCCTCGCTGCTTCAGAAGGTTTTAAACTCTTTTGCCCTTTGACTTTTGTTTGACACTGTTTAATACCCATTTCAATCATGAACTCCACTAGCTGAGCTTCAAAGGCACAAGCTGCACAAAATACATCATTTGTTTCCTTTCCTGGATGTTTAGCTGCAGAGTTCTATTATCTGTAGAATATGTGAAATCTAAGATTTTGAGAAGAAAATGCTGTCTTGAGGTTTTAAGTAATGTTAGACACTAAAGTTGCTTTATATAATGAAATCTTAGAGTAATAAACAGCATTTGAAAAGAACAAGCTTTTTTGGTATAAAAACTACTGTACCCTTGCTTTCTTCATTTAAGTATCATCTAAGAACAAAAGATCTGGAGAAAGCTGGTTTTACTTCTCTGAAACCTTTGCAGCCATATCCCAGGCCAAATCAACATGCTGGACAATCCCATCTTTGCTTCCATTTATGGTACTACTCATTAAAGGACAGCAGATATCCTTGTCCTATCTTTTCTGTGAGACATATCCCCAGACTTAGCTGGCTGAAGAGCACAAAAATGCCCCATTTAACCCTCTTCCAGCTACTCATGCACAAGGCACAGTGGCTATTCCTCCAGTCAGTTATGGCAGAGGCCTGTGCTGGTGGAGAACTTTCATTTCCCAGAATATCTTTGTGTAGCTCTGGGATTCTTCTGAGGGAGTTGATTATTATTTCTTCCAGCAACAACAGCAAACCAAATATCTCCTGTGCCCACCTAGACAGACCAGAAAATCCCAAAGACTGTCAACTAGCCACATCATAAATACCATAAAGTTCTTCAGCTCTTTTCCATTAGGAGGTAACTATATCATTAATCCCTATATCTTGCATATCTATGTGCTTGGCCTACTCCCATATAATATAAAATGAAGAATTTGACAATGAACTTATCAGGTAACTCCAGCTGCTGTCCAATAAAATGCCTGCTTCCTTTAGCTGGACAGTTGGGATCATCTTCATGCTTTGGGTGACCCCTGCTGAAAGTATATAATTTTAGTAAAAACTCCTGACATCCATCACTTACTACGCATCACCGAATTAATGATATTTGTTCAAATTGTAATAACATTCAGAATTGTGCAGGTATAAGAAAATATTACACCTGATTTGGGGAATAGAGTTGGGGTTATAGTCCCACTCCCCCCACGAGATAGCTCAGATGAGATACACCATACTATGGGGAATTTCTTTAACTGGCATAAGATGATTTATCATATTATATGCTTGCCTTTCTCCATTACTATGTTAATTAGTACTGCTTTTCTTGCAGAATGGCTACTTCAACTAATCTATTGAATGTTCACTCTGTAGGGAAGTAATTGGGGATGACCAGACACACCTATTCTTTCTCTTTATTACTGTAATCATAATGGGAAACAATGTAAATTATTTCACATTCAGTTGATACACTCATATTTAGGACACAACTATAACAACAGCAAAACCAGCAATATAAAATTTCTACATGAAGGAAAAAGAAGGGGACTGGTGAGAAAAAACAGAAAGGAAAAATCAAAAGGACCACAATTCCTTATGATTGCATTACGTTCTTTCTAGTCTATGTCTCCATTGGTTTCTCATAAAATTTTGGCCACCTCCAGAACATCTATGACCATGGTGGTAGACCTTTCAGTTTATGGAACATATTATGATCTTCCTTAAAACCCCATTGTATGTCAACATCTCATTGACCTCAACCAGCATAAACACCTTGGCAAACCTGAGTGAAAGATACTTTATAACAGATGCCCCCCCCCCAATCTCAGTAGTGACATGAAGAGTTTCCATGTGTAGCTCCTGAAGCTCAGCCTGGACTTTTGTTTCCAATATATGGACATAACAAAAAAAAACCCCTTATGCTATGTGATGACCTTCTGGATCCACTGAATCTTTTTTGTTGTTATTTAGCTTAATTTGCTATGACATGGTGTTTGCAAAAGCGGGCACCACTGATAGAAGGGAGAATGACTCACTGTTGAATGGGAAAGTGCTTCTCAAAATCCTAAAAGTAGATTCCTCACAAGAACTCTGACAAGTTCTTATTAAGTCTGCCAGCGATCTCATTTCAAGTGCTCACAGTGGGTCTAAGGGCCATTGTCTCTAGATCAGTCCTTTTCACTCATAAACTGCTGCAGAAAGTCCTTCTTTGATGCAAGTAATGTACTAGAAGAGCTACTAGTAGAATTCCTTTGCCAATAAAAGGCAGCAGTGAAGAAAGGAGCCTGCAAAGTTTGTAAATTAATAGCTTTTATTAATAAACTTTATGCTGTCCTATTTATTTTATTTTGCCCATCAAATAACAAGTCAGAGTAGCCCACCTCTTAACTAGAAGGTTATAATGGCATAGCTCAAATATCATGCTAATCTAAAACTTAAAAAGTCATGTTATATATGCATTCTACCATTCTGTCATATACAGAGCATTAATTTTCCTGGTTACATCCTCATAAAATTCCTTTTTCCATATGCAAAGTATTTTAGATTAAATTTGCTGGGTTCTTGAAGCATCACAATTGTATTCAAGAATCCCATTATAAGGAATAACCAAAGGCATAATAAACTCTCAGTGAAGACCAATGAGAGGGAGGCAGGAGGAAATATTGAGCTCCATCAAATATTAGTAAGATTCTTCTGTGGTTACAGAACCACAATAAAATATAAGAATATTTAATCCATTTTATTTAGCAAGACTGATGCAAATAAGCATAAAGAGTATCAAAATATAGGTTAAAATACTTTAGAAATTTTAGGAAAAACAATATCATTTGCAATCTCCTGCTTCCTGTGGGATAGTTCTTGAATGTGACTTGGAAACATTGATTTTTTTTATTGATTTTATGCCAACTTAGAGTCCGCTAGTATAAACTGAGGAAAAATTACTCCTTGTTATATCAGTTGCATGAATTTGATTCCAAGTTCAGTTCATGTATTATTATCCTTATCCTCTGCACACTTTAAATCTTAGAGATTCACTGTCAACTCTATAACGAACCTGACTAAAGCCATCTTGCTCGTTCTAGGTTGCCACGAGAATGGAAGTGGGGGAAGTGGAGGTTTCCTGCTAGTGTAAACAATTCTCTGTCCTGTGGGAACCATGGCCATGTCTATCAGTCGGATTGGGGGCTTGGGTGTGCTTTAGAAAGCCCGCCAAACCATTCTATTGGGAAACATAATTGATTGCAAAGCTTTGGGGTGGGAAGTTTAACTTTGTAATAGTGTAATTCTTTGGGGGGATTTCAGACTTAGTTTAACTTTTGTTCGTGCCGATACTTTGCAACCAATAAACATGTTCTTTGAGGAAGCCTCTAGCCTCAGATCTCTGATTTATCGGTTTCATCTACCAGAATCATGACATTCACATTGTAATACTGAAAGAGCAACTCATTCCTACATAATCGAGACTGACTCCCTAAGTCTTCCAGGGAGGTTTTCTTCCTTGCCTCTCTACCAAGAGAAGTATAATTTCCAGCTATATGATTAACAACCATAGCCATGCTGCAGAATGCCCTGTCAAAAATAGATTTATACAGCCTCCTCTCTGATTAGTCTGACGCCTCCCTGATGGCATTCTGGTTTCATAAGCCAATTTCACTCTGGATTAGCTGGTTGACTCTTAGTACTATTGTCCCTGGGCATCTTTTATTAACAAAGGGGCTGTTGATCTCAGAACATCCAATTTGGATGAGGAGGCAACTTCTAGAGGGAACACCACCAGTGGTACAGATATACCCATGGAGCTTTCTCTGTGTTTACAGATGGAAGTATGTGCCAGGAGGAATAGGGTGTTTATTAATGATGTGGTTCTTTGCTAGAAACAAACACTTCTTTACTGCTTTCTTCCAATGGTCATCCCAGATGGTTGTGTCTTGTAATACATTTCTGCTTTAAAAGTATGGAACTTACGTATATGTCATATAAATTGCAAATTGTAATGCTCTAAGCAGAAGGATTAAACAGCTATGTTTTACTATTTCATTATAGTAATGATGAAATTATGTTTTTTCCTGATGCATAAAACCCTTCCAGCAGAGTAAATAGTTTAATTGTTGAGAGTGGTCTCATAGATAGACTTCTGTATTTTGACACCTTTCATCTGTAAAGTTTAATCTGATTTTTTTTCCTGCTCATATTTGGCATCCTGCTTAATCTGTTGTCTTTTTTTTTTAATGAACTGGTTTCTCTGTTCTTTGCTCTGGGTATTTCAGAGTTTTTAATAGTTCTTTGTTCTATTATTTTCCTTACCTGCATTGGATGCAGAATTAAACACCAAAAGGAAATTATATGTTCAGTTTCACCGGACCACCAAAAGCTGCAGCTACTGGACACCAGATCCCATCATTCCCAGCCAGCTTGCACATTGACAGATACCTGTGACAGTTTTCAACTCATCCTTCCAAAAGGCTCCAGGTTCAGGGTGATTGCATAAGTACAGGCAGATCATTCAACCTACAACTGCGGAGCACCCAGAGTAAATGTGTGACATGTTTATTGTGCAGATGCAGGATGGAGGATTACTGCCCAATGCTACCATCACTGAGAAAGACTTCACTGTATTTTGATCCTATCTCCATTCCCATACCCTATATCGTTTATAGAAGCCTGGATCTCCATCGCTGACAAATTTTTGAAATGACTGTGGCCTTTGCTCTGACTTTTCCAGGGTTGAATTAGCCAATAAAAGAGCCCCGTTTTTCCCCTTAGTAGGAATGTATATTGTGTAGATCCCTGCCCCACCTTCTTGAATAAGATAATTTACCTTTCTCTCCTCCCCATCAGTAACAGCAGCAGCCTGTGACGTGATTTGCTTGCCTGTCAAAGGCAGCTTTTCCTCATCGTAACAACCCTCTCCAGTTTCTCTTTCACCCTCCCCATCTCTTGCTTCCCCGCCATCTTTTATGGCCGTTGCCATGGCATCCAGGGAGAGCTAAGCACCGCAGCAGGGAAGGGGAGGAGGAGGCCCATGCTGCAATTTCCAGTCTGTTTCCGTCCTCCCTGAGCTCATCACTCTCTTCCTCCTCCTCCTCTTCCTCCTCCTCCTCCTCCAAGGAGGGATGTGGCTGAAGCTCTGGCTCTTGCTGCTGGGTGGGTGGATTCCCTCCTCAGCCAAAAGAAAGTAGGGGGGGAGGAAGCATCTGCTGAAGGTTTGCTGGAAGAAGCCTTGGTGGAGGGGGATATGGATCCAGATCGCCCCTCCCTCACCTTTCAGCATCTCTTCTTGGCTTCACCCCGGTGAGTATCAGCCATCGGCCCCTCCTGGCACCCTTGCTGTTTTTTCCTGCAGCTGCCATCATTTGAGTCTCAAGGCCCTGCGTTTTGCAGTTCTTCTGGGTGTCAGCATCCTCCCCTCGGAACAATGACTTTCATCTAATCTGCTGGAAAGGAGGAGAGGAAGAAAAAGGGGAGGGGATGTGGTGTGAGAGGGAAGGAAAAGGAAGATGGAGAGGGAGGAAGGCTGCTGACAAGCTGTCTCTGGTAAAGCTGAATTGTAAGTATTCACAGGCAGATGGGGAGGATGCTGTTATTTACCCTTTCTGTTGAAAAATGAGATGCTTGGCAAGTGCCTGTTAGTTTGGGAATGCAGACATTTCTGATGGCTTTTCATTCCTCCTTTTAATTCCCCGACTGTTGGGCTGGGCCTCCGTGAAGTACAATTTGCTGGCAGCAGAGATAGTCATAAGCCAGCAGTCGATTGCATCCATGATTGATTTGTGGGCATAGTGTGTGTTGGATGGTTAAGTGTATTAAATCCATGAGTGCATTGCCAAAAGATTTGGGTGGGATGCACTTTCTGCATAAGGGTCCATACCTGCATGTATATGTGAGCCTCACACATCTGGATCTCTTTGTAGCTTCTACACATGAGTTGTAGTTCTACACATTTAAAGCAGTGATGGACTGACAATGCATTCCACTTGGGCTGATAGAAGGAATTGATAGTGCCTTGGTTTCATTTCAGCCACAAAGGACAGATCTACTGTATATTGTACATTCAGGACCATGTACAGCCACTAATTCACAGCCTCTGTTTCTTGACTGTCATGTCTATTCTATTGCCTTCATGTCCGGCTCATAGATTTCCCATAGGCATCTGATTAGCCTTTAGGGAAAAGAGCATTCTTAGTAAGAGAGCTTTCACTTGATGTCCTTTATGGAAATACTCAGGTACTGAATATTAATGCTATGGGGGGGGGGAGGTTTCAGGCAAAGTGCAACATCAATCTATATCTAATTGCCCACCATTTTGATATCCCAAATCTAATTCCCAAGAATCAGATAATTCTTTCTGCAGATTCTCTTTTCAACTGTTCAGGTCAAATTCTACTGAATATATGCATCTTCATCAAGTTTACAAAGTAGCCTAGGATGTAACAATCATTAATCTGAACTAATAATTTTGGTTTTGATCATAATCAGTTATATATTGTAACTATTGTGATAGGTGTTCTGTGTAGGTTTCTCATTCTTGTTTTGCTAACAAAAATGAATCTAAATGTCAGCATTAAACTGATGCCATGCAAATTTAAAGATTAAGATAGTATTAATTTAACAGATAGGTTCAAAATATATGACAATATAGATTTCAGATTGTATAGAGACACATTTCTGAAAAGCCATGGGTACATATCCATAATTCATTTTACACTCAACACACACACACACACTCTTATACATATACACCTATGCACACATGCACACACACAAAAACATGCACATATTTTCTATAAAAATTATAGGATTTTTAGAGATTACAGACATTTTATTATATGCATCTTTTAACAAAATTGACATGAATTTATTTATTGATTTGATTTATAGCCCATCTTTCTTCACGATGGCATATGTGATGGAAATTCCATGACAATACACACTGTAGTATACCCTCCTTCTATTTTCTCCTACATCAGCAACCCCATGAGGCAAGTTAGGTTGAGAGACAACAACTATCCCAAAGCTACCCAGTGAGGCTCTGTATGTGAAAGTGATGCTGACTTATGGCTTCTTCATTACTAGTATAACATCTTAATCATGCCATAGAGGTGCTTTAACCTGAGATGCAAGGTGCAAGTGAGAAAACCCCCCTAATATCATTACACAATGGGTGTCTTGTAATATTATTGTGTTTTATCCAAGTGATAGGAGGTCCATTGGACTGAGAGAGTGAATATATGTGATTGACCGTAAAATATTTAGTAAGCAGTTTAAAACCTGGTTTTACCCAGTGTTAGTCAACATCATATTTATTACATTGACTCAGAATCTATTCAGAAAGAAGTCCAATTGGTATGTTGATTCAAGCAAGATATATTCGGCGAATGAATCTGAGATTGACTTAGAAAGTCAGTTTATTAAAATAGCATTCCTTTGTTGTCAGTGATGTAGTAAATGCTCTAGTGGACCACTGAGCATGCAGTGGAGAGCCACGTCAGGCAATGAATGAACATGATAAAATATGATCAGAATATCTTCTCTCCAAACAATGAACATTTATGCAGTATACTATGTTTGTAGGAATATCCTTTAAAATGGAGAGTGTGAAAATGACAGTCACAGCCATGGGTAATTTACATGTGCACATTGTGCAAAGAATTTCAACAGACAGTCAAGATTGGCTATGCAGTTGGCAAGTAAAGATAGATTTGTTGCACTCTCTGCCCAGTGTAGGAATGAAGGTTGTGCTGGAAAGCATAATAAAGGGAAGACAGATTTCCTTCATATACTAAGGTTTGGGTTCAGTTTCCCTCAGATTGGAAGTAACTGGAAGCATACATACATAGACACACAAAGACACACACACACACACACACAGAGAGAGAGAGAGAGAGAGAGAGAGAGAGAGAGAGAGAGTTAATATAATTATATATATAATTAATTTCCTGTAAAATGTGATTCTGAGGGATCTTTGGTGATTCTCATGATTCTATGAAATGTGATTATTCCCTCATTGTTGTAGGGTGGGATCATATCCCATGCAACAATAACTCACACCTGAAGCTTACATTGTGAATAATATATTTGTGGTAAGCTTACATGTCATTCTGGTTCTGTAGGTCTGAACAAGCTTCTCTTGATAGAAGTGCCCATGATAGTGATGTTATTGCAATCAGTAGTCACCAAATTGTACTCACCAAATAAATAGGCTGTAGCTCAATGCTACTGTTCTACCAGGTATTATAGGGAACCAAAGAGCTGTTCAACTGGGATTGGTACCTGGTGGCCATCTTTACTACAACATTGCAGAAGAAACAATATGGTGGTTGGCAGGTGCCAGCCAAATGGTCACTCAGCTCCCAGCTCATTATAGTACCCATGATGGCTATCTTTCCTGAGGAATTCATATTACTGCTAGGGCAAGCAGTTCCCATTTCATGTTGGCAGGGAAAGTGTAGTGAGTGAAGGGTATGATGGAGGTCAAGGTAAATGTCAGCTTTCAGAGAGCTCTGCTAAGTCATAGAGACCCTTGCAGCTGTTCATAGATGCTAATTCTGGCCTGAAATCTGCTGAATGTGAATGTGTGTTGATTCAACTGTAATTTTTTTAAAAATACTTTGTAACAGACTAAGCAAAAGAATAATATGTACTTCTCTTTTAACATTTGAGGAGCATCTTCAGGAATCACTCCATGAGTGGACAACTTTATAAAAGTGATATTCTACATACATACATACATACATACATATACATACATACATACATACATACATACATACATACATACAATCTTGAACTGAAATTATTCTGTTGTCCTAGATGTTCAAATAAAACAGATCCAAAATGGCAGGAAATAGCAGTGGCAGCATTCCTTCTGTAGTTCGCATTGTTCTCTCAATGAATGCCATTGCCATTGTTACCCAGAATGTCCTTAGAACAGAACAGAACAGAACAGAATAGAATAATAACTTTATTGTCACTTTGAATGTACAACTAATCAGCATATGTTAAAATGAAATTTTGTTGCATTCAGCTCTCAAAGGGTCACCACCTCTGATATACACTACATAAATATGACATACATACATACATACATACATACATACATACATACATACATACATATTTACGGATATACCCACATATATTATATGACACAGAGAAACAACAGTCTAGTTCAGGTTATGTATACATGTGCATGGTGAGAAAAATGAATCTTGCGAGTTTACCAGACGGATGGCACAGGGAACAAAATATACACTAAAATATAATGGCATTGCTAGAAACGGTTCTTGTAATTGCTTGGGGACTGCAGGTCATCATAGATCAAGGGACAATATTCCCTGGCCCGGGGAGGGGGGGAATGCAAAATGTAAAGTTCAGACCCCAGCCATTTATTTAGGAGTATTAAGGTGGCTTAATATCACCTGTTGGAGCCATACTTTATCAACAATAAAAAAAACTGATGCATTAGTGGAGCAAACCCTTAAATTTTGCAGTTATAGGATTAAAATGCATGTACTATATTACTAAGCAGATTGATTGAATTTAAAAAAATAATATCTGTTTCTCCTCTCCCTCCTCCCTACTTTCTTTTATGCACCAGGTGGCATTTTTAGTTAAGAAGGAGGGATAAAGTGCATCTTGGTTATTCTACCCATAACAAGGTTTCTCTTCTATACAGTTGTACATACCCAGTGTATATTAAAAATTAGTCAGCATTTATTATTGTAGTTCCTTTAGTCCTTCATAGAACTATAGTTCTTTTTTCAAAAGTCTCCAAATGTGGACAATATGTTTGTTTTGCTTTTGTCTCTGTGGAATAGGAGAAGAATACAACTGGTTAAAAGAGATGCATAAAAAATGTTGTCTTTCTTTACTGCTGAGATGGCAGGCACATAATTTCAATAAAGAACAAAAATTATTAAGACTATGATCTATTAGGGAAAACATTTTATATATCAACTTTAAAGAAACTAAATTCTAGAAAGGTTAGCTAAATTCACGACATTCAAGTCTTGAAAATACATATAACACGACTAACAAAATCAGCCTCAAAATAACAATCAATCTTTTAAGTCACCTCTGGGCATGTTATTTCATTAGGCACTGAGTAACATTACATCTTTACCATTTTGTTTATGAAATTGCTCTGCTTTACTGTAAGTCATGTGAGCTCATATTTTTCCCATGGAAAATAGAATATCAGAAAAATGGCAAGAAATCAATAAACCAAGCTTTCCCATATGCCCACAAATATTCTACCCCATTGTGTAGTAATGCACATACGGCAATATATT